CAGATCGCGCGACAACTAGCCTCCTCTTAATCATCATCATCAACATCGTCCATAGCCATAGTCAATTAGACATCTCACTTACTCGCTCTCGAATAAGGTGCGATAGATACGGCGCTGATCAGCAGCATTCGTCTCCTTCACTGGATTCGGTCACGGCGAATACTCCAGGCGTGCCCCAAACTGTGCAGTGGAATACGTGCATATTTCCAATCGCCGTCAAGTCGCAAAGCAACCAAACCTCAACAGCATCCATTTCAAACCACGAGGAATTTCTCAAGCGCACACCAAGCAGCCATGTCACAGAGTGGCGAGGCCTTTGAAAGAGGAGGAAGGATAACGAGCGGATATTCGGCTCCTAGATCGACGCACGAGACTTATCATCCGGGAGGCTACGGTGTTTCGGAAGGACTAAGGAGGGCAAGAAGACCTTACGCCGTCAAAAATGCGCTCACAGGATCTGCCATCATGGCTTTTGCTGTCGGGTAAGTTGGTGGGAGGTCGACATTGCGAAGCAGACACTCCGCGATGCTGGAATCCATCGGCTGCCGAAGCTTGGTTGGAGCTGGTATGCCAAGCGGGTAGTCGCAGCTACTTGCTTAGGCAACTGCAGCTCGTAAATGCGCTCCAAAGCCGGCTGGTCATTCTGCTGAATCGGCCTTGAACCTCATCCGCAGAGCTTATTACTACTCCATCAGGCAGGTACGTCCGCACACACGATGGTCTCAGCCTCTCATCTCGTCCTTCAGAGATACAGACTGACGAGATTGACGGGTCCTCTCTTTTGGCACATTCGCAGGTAAAGCCCGATGACACTTCATCCGCCTCATCTTCTTCCCTAGCATCGAATACAACCAGCTCCTCCGGCAGCACGAGTCTGTTCGGAGGCGGAGACGACAATACGCCTTCTCCTGCGGCGATGCCTATCGGTCCTTTGGGCTCTTTGAAAGCTTTGCAAGTGTCAAATCAAAAGGGGCTCGAGGATTTGCGAGCTGGACCACCTATCACGGATGCGCAAAGGGATGAGCTTAGAGCTCAGATACTGATTGCGCAGGGAAGATTGAACAGCTCGAATTTAAGGTAGACGAAGGACCAGGGGTTAATAGGGCGAAGTTCACCACTCGTTCTTTTGATGATCACCGTGACACCAGTACACCTGGAGCGAGACAGCTCCAGAGCTCCACATGCATGGGCATCTTGCCCCTTCTGCTTCGTGCCGGACGGGAAGATGCTACTACTATCCCTTGTTGCGCTTCGCAATCGAATTCACCTGATAACCAAAAAATGACAACCACTCGAGGGCGACTGGATGGGTGATTGACCTATTTTCTGATCGAGTTTAGGCGGGAAAAGGAGCGCACGAATGTGCTTGATCAAGTATGTGATGTCTCCACAAGCACCATTTATGGCTGATCATGGACTAGTCAAGACTCTGGCCAAATGAGTCGCGGTTCCGGATGGTGGTGGTGTGTTGAAGATGATATCGGTCACGTGACAAAATACTGCCACCCACGAAGCGGTTTTACATTCTGATTCATTCAGTCACTGATGAGTCAAGATCAATCCATGGAGCTGGATGATGCAAGGTATAGTCACGCTTCCGACGAGCAGGTGAGTTAGCCAACATCGTGCTTGCTGGAGAGGTGAAGCTTCTGCGCGTAAAGCGAGAGCGACAAATCGGATTCAAGACGATTTCCACGCTCGTACAGCAAAGCCGCTGTGCCTTGTGCGCAGGCGGAGATGTCTGTGATATTCACTTCAAACTGATTCAGGGATTGCGTCTGCATGGCTTCGAGAAGCGTGATTGACGATTCTTTGGAGTGTGAGTGGTTGCGCATGCAGCAAAGGGATGCAAAACTGGTGTGGTGGCACGTGCGCTGAGGGTCTTTGTCGATCACGAAAGCAGACATGACGCGCGCAGCAAGCGGGCGGGCAGGCAGGCTGGCAGATGCGCCTCTACAAATTCTGGAGTGTGCATGCAAGTGACTGCTCGTACGCCGGCGCGATCAGTCTGGCATCAAATCCAAGCCATGCTGCATGCACGCTGACCAGCATGGCCGGCTGGCGAGCAAGCGATGCGAGCGCGATGCTGCTGCATGTTGAATAATCCACTTGAAACATCATAGCGCGGCGCTGCTGGTCGTGTCCATGCTGCGAGAAGGGCACGGATCATCAGCCAGGCAGCGTCAGGCGCACAACGCACAGCCCATGCAGCAGCAACAACAACTGCAGGGTTTGTGGGGGCGTGATCCACGCGCTTTCTGCTGTGCGACCTCACCCGCTTCGGAGCAAGGCAAACACAACGGCTGCATGGCTTTGATTGACCTTCTTATTCCTGCGGCTGAGAGGTCCGATCGTTGATGTTGCAATCCACCATCATCCAACTCGACAGACTTTAAGAAATCGCACCAGGTGAGTCGAGTCTGCCTATGCCCTGCATCACCTGCATCGTCTTCCGCTGCGAGAGCAACATTCCGCTGAGCCTTTTGACCCCTTCACAAAAGCGCACATCGCACATTTTGCCAAGATGCCTCTCTTCGTCCTGTCTCCCGCCTCTTTGGCCCACTCGGCCCTCTTCGCTGGCTATTACAGGTGAGGTGCCGAATCGATCTCAGAAAAAATGCAGATCGACACCCCAGGCGCACAGTGCGGGCAGAAGACGTTCCCTTCAATGCTTCGAGTTCGCTTTGGCTGACACGATCACACTACCCTCTCACACAGCTACCTCACAACCAACGTGGTCGCTGTGAGTCATCGGGGAAGGAGTGACGCAGCTCAATCTCCTCAATGTGCTGATTTCGCTCCTCCCTCGCGTGCTGTAGCTGCGACTCAAGACTGGTGTCTTCATTGGCCAAGGCGAGGCTGGATCTGTGAGTGTTGCTCCAGAGTGGAACCTAAATCAGCATCGAGGTGTCACGAAGCGCTTCGCTCTAGGCGAGGATGAAGATGCATTCTTGACAAGGGGCAACGCGTCGAGAGGCTTCCATCTAGCTGCACGGGAACAACTCGGCTCACCATCCCTCGACTCTTCACAGGTCCGCGACCCTGCACACAAGGCGTCCGCCTCTGATGCCCAAGACGAGGAGAACTTGAAGCGCGCCGTTCGATCTGCTGGAAACTTTGCCGAGCACACTCCATTTGCCTTTTTCCTCATCTTCCTCTCCGAACTCAACGGTGCCCCAACCGCTGTGGTCCACGCTGCTTACAGCACCCTGTTCTTGGCTCGCGTGGCTCACGATGCGGGAATCAAGGCGCCAAACGCAGTCGGCCTTGGACGTCCGATCGGTTTTGTGGCCACTGCTCTGCTGACCGTCAGCGCAGGTCTTTACAACGTGAGTAGAGAGACTTAGCAATGGCAGTATGGAGGACGAGGGAAGAGTGTTCGTGGGCCGGTACATCTGCAAGGCGGTGACATGCGGATTCGAAAAGCTGACTGCCTGTCTTCATTTCCCGCTCGCAAACAGCTGTCGCTTGGATGGGAGCCTCTCAAGTCTTTCGCCGGTCTCAAGTAAACATCTCTAGATGTATGCTTCTTCCGCCCCTTTGACTTCGAGGTCCGAAAGCGTGCAAAATGCCTTTCTCACAACGCGGCCTCCAGGTGCAAATGCGATCAATAAGGTTGTAGTGGTGCGATTGGTGTTTTGATACAAGTTGCTGAGGATGTCACGACGCGCTTTAAAGTATTGCGGGTAGATCTCATCATTTGGTAGAGCGTGCATGGCGGCTTGATGGGACGTTGTGATCAAGGCAGATGAAGGCTGAAGGCGCCTTATTTTGCGTCCTGGTATTGACGCTGGCGCGCGTGGTGCAAGTTTACAGGTCGTGCACACGGTAGGAATGGTAAGCACCTGATCAAAGCCGTCCTCGAAAGTGGAGTGGTGTCGCTTGTATTTTGAGTCGCATAGTACGCGTGACTGTGTTGCGAAAGGCGATGCGAAGAGCGGCTCAGCGCAAGCAAGTTCCCTTGCTCGCCCTGTACGTCTCGGTCCCATTTGGCTGCCCTTTCCCAGAAAAGGTGACGAGACGGCGTTGGCGGGCAAGTCTGGCTGGCCCTGGGGCACGAAAGACGATGTGGAATGCAGCTTGACACTTTAATCACCTTCGGACCAAAAGTCTTGCGTTCCTGCGGCCCATTGCAAGCCTCGCAAGGCTTCCTCGTCGTCCTGACCGGCAAAACCCATCGAGCTTGCCTGTCTGATGTGAACTAGATTTTGAAAAGGTCCTAAAAGGTCCATCCATTCTACCCATCCATTTGGCTGAGGATGTGCCGCAGTACCAAGTGCAAGCTTGCGCTCATTGATCATCTTCCATCCAGACACTTGCGCTCTGCCCCTGAGCGCGTAAAAGATGAGCAGCGCGACAAAGCAAAGCAGGGCCAAGCGAGAGAGGAGAGGAGGAGACCGGTCCGCTTCTGCTAGGCGCAACGTCTCGGCGTACTTTGCCGCGAGGACCGTATTTGCGTTCTGAGTAGTAAGATGGGACTTTTGATTGTCCTTGGAATGTCGAGCAGACGCAACGTGATTGTGATTCGCGTTGGACACTACGACCGGCGCGCTGGAGTGATGAGCACCGTGCTGCGAGCCGTGAGCGTGGCTGCGACTGCGAAGTTCGCTCTGACTGCTGCTCATGATGAGTAGAGTGCCTGTTTGGCCTTCCTTTCCCTCTTGTGTCGGGGATCGCTCGATGTCGACCGGTAGTGGTGGTGGTAGGTGGGAGCGAGGCATGAATGCCATACCGAGCGTGTTTCAAACCCAGATCGTATCTCCCAATCGCTGGAGCTTCTACATGGCGCGAAGGCTCACTTGACGAATGAATATGGCATGCCTAGTAGCTTGGGCCAAGAACCAGGTTTGTAGAGCGCAACGATCCACAATCAGCATTGAAATTCGCTGGGTACAGCCGACACCATGAAGTCGTGAGTCTGAGTGGTGATTGTTGAGTAGTACACAGGCGCGCGCGCGACTTGCGACGCGCGACGCGCGACGCATACAAGACCGTTGCGCA